AGCTGCGGGCGAGCGGTCACGGGGAGCGGGTCCTTTGCGTGGCCCAGCTGCAGCCCTCAGGCTGTGCCGCGGGAGCAGGAGCAGCGCCCCTCGCTGCCGGTGGTGCTATTCCACAAACAGCGCCTGGCTCCTTGGGCGGCGCCACGTCTCTCGGGTGGGCAGGGGGCTCTGCGGCCTGGGAGCGCCCGGCCCCGGCATCATGGGAAAGGGCAGAAGCTCTCAGGCAGGCCCGCAGCCTGGGGAAGTGCTTCCCAACCTGTGCTCCGGGGGACTGCACCTGCCACTTATCTGCCTCCAACTGTCCAGCATCATTTACCTCCTGTTCTGCAGCTACCGGCCTTTCTGCTCACGGAAACATCCCCTGACTTTTTATTTAATCTTACTGAGCACTTGGCCTCTCCTGTGGCACCAACCACCACAGATACTGCACTCCCCGTTAAAACCAATATTCATACATTTTTGCACTGATTCTTGTCTGCAGGCTGTTAGCATGCAGCTCAGATATTAATTGACTCAGATATTAATACCAGTTATATTCTCCTCTCTAAGCTGTTCAGGGTTTAATTCTGAGACAGTGTCCAGTGACTCAAAGGAGTTAAGGAGACCTGCCAGCTTTCCCACAAGAGGATCCTTGTGTCAGTTCTCGTGCTGCAAGTTGAATGTGAGGCATTTGCCAGTGGAAGGAGGTAACATGGCTGTACCACACTATGCTCCAGCAATCTCCAAATCATGCAGCTGCCTCTTGAAACAATGGCCACGTTGGCATACTTCAAAAGAGCATAAGGACAGATGTAATTTATGGCAGGACTAAAATAGCCTCTCTTGACCTCAGAATTAAGGAGCTGTGCTCGCATCTGGCGCTGACCAAAGTTTGTAAAGAGAGAAATGAAATTGAGTCTTTGTTCCTGGAGCGCCTTTTGAGAAAAGGAACTGGGGTAGTTGGAGTTGAACCAAAATGTTCAAGATGAGGCTATACTTGTGAGTTACATAAGGGCACTATATTTTCAGTTCCAGTTTTTAAATATCTAACACACAGGTTTCTTAACTAGTCCTGGAGTCTGGCAAAGGCCTTTGTAATTAACATATTACGATTTACAGGTACCTGTTACAATTAACTTGGCAAAGTACCCAAGGTGTACAAAGTGGAGGTGCATTGCTGTACAGGTACTCCTCACTTAACAACCGAGTTCCATTCCTGCAACTAGGTCATTAAGTGAATTGGTTGATAAGCGAGGAGCCGCCCCTTGATACTGCGTGCCTTGGCTTGAGACGCTGCGCTGCCGTTTCAAAGACCAAAGTGCTCGTACTTACGACCAGTTCTCGTACTTACGACCAGTTCTCGCTGGTCGTTAAACAGGTAGGTCGTTAAGTGAGGAGTACCTGTATTGGTCCATATCCTATCAGCACCGATAAAAGGAAAACTGACATTATCAGCAATTGGCTTTTTGGCCAGTGTAGTCAACAATGTCACCGATAAATACCACATGCATGGGTGCAGCTGCAGCATGCACGCAGCCAGGAGTGCAGCCTGGCAGCTTGGAGAACAGCCTCCTGCCAGTAAGTCTGGGGGGAGGAAAGGGCGTGGGGGGAACAGTAAAAAGGGACAGATGGAGGCCCCCTCAATGAGGGAGGGGGTGGGGCTGGCTCAGGGACAGGCACTGCTCAGCTGGGCTAGGGTAGGGTGTAGGAGAGAGCTGCAGGCAGCTCAGGTGGGAGATGCAAGGGGGTGGGAAGGCAGGGGCAGCTCCTGGCTGCTGTGCAAAACCCAAGGGAGGCGTGGGGGCATTGGCAACATGTAGGGGGTGCACATGCACCCTCTGAGATCGGCTGTGCACCCCCTGGAAGCGCCAGTGGTGAAACTGGAAGTGGACCACCAGATTTGGGAGGCACCAGTCACCCATGCATTGGGGGCATGTTCCCCCTGCGTTTGTGCACGGGATGAGGGTGGGCTGCATCGGCCTCTTCCTGGCAGGGGTGCTGAGCTGGGGTTGTGCTCAGGGCAGGCGGTGGTGGCACTGGAATGGTGGGACTACAGCAAATTTTGGGGTGGCCAGCCCCCTCTCCCAGCACTGTGGCCACCCCACCACGAAGAGGCCACCACAGCCCTCAGCAGGCAGCCCACCTTTGCCCCAGACACACATCTGGGGGGCACATGCCCCCCATGTCTCCCCCAGGGCTGCATGTAGCAGCAGGGAGCTGCCCCCCCCCCCCCCCAGCTGAGACCTCTGCAGCTCTGTCTCACATCCTGCCCTGGCTGGGCAGAGCCTGCACCTGCTCCAACCACACTCCCTCCCTCACTATGGGGACCTCGATCTGCCTCTCCCATGCCCCTTCACCACCACAGACTTACCAGCCGGATGCTCCTTTCCAAACTGTGGGGCTGTATATTGGCAATCAGATAGGCATCGGCCGATACGGCTGGCTAGTAACTGGTGGTTGGTATCAATCAAAAAAATATTTATTACTGCACCCCTAGTACAAAGGTAATGCTTCCAAATATACATTCTTACATGGGTCAGTAGTGCCCCACTTAAGGCACCCATTCATTTATTACTTCTTAGGTACTTCTGGTGGTCTTCAGTTC